ACTAACCCATTTTTTTGTGTTAACTATGCTAACCAACATCAACCAATCATGTTCCATCTTTTAGTTAGGTTCAAATGTAACTCACATATTAAATGTAAGGGTATTTAGGTAATTTGTCATTTTTATGTAACTCCCCAATATTTTAATTGGGAGTTACAAATCTTAAAATACACTAATTGATATTCATGTAATAATGACATGAAGTTTCACATTTGTTCATCTTACTGATTTTTACATTTCATTCTTCCTATAATGGTTTTGATATTGTAAATTTCAAAAAAGTCTCTTTTGTAAAGATTCCGTTATATTCCGAGTAATATGGATAATCATAGAGTAAAACAAATCGACGACAATGAGAATAAAAAAGCTAAAAGCGTCTACGAATACATTCGGAATTCGAATTCCGAAAGTGAAGAAAATGATCAAACCGTTCACGCACATGTTCACTCAAAGTCGACATATGTGTTCACTCGTGCACATATGTGTTCAATTGGTTCACACAATATGTCTATTTGGTTCACACACATGTTTCAATTGTTCACTAAATTCACACATTGTTTTGATGAAGATTATGAACCTAATTTTTCAATTGTTCATTAGGTTTACACATTGTTCATTAGATTCACACATTGTTCATTAGATTCACACACATGTTTCAATCTTATCTGGATATCGTCGTCTGGTAATCCTTCCAAATCCTCCATTGTGTTTGATGAAGATTATGAACCTAATTTTTAGCTACTAATTTAAGATATTGATCGATGAGATTGACGGTTTCTTTATTGATTGGAAGTTACAGAATAGGCTGACAAAATATGATACATTAAGATCGTTCACTTTTTTACAATTCTACCATCTGAACCATTGTGAACCTAATTTTTTATTAATATGATAATTAAATAATTAAATGTTTAGTCTCAATAAATGACAACCGTTGGATGTTCAAATCAACGACCAAGATCGGTTAACAAAGTTAACACGATAATCTTGGTTAGTATTTAAATCAGCCCCTATATATATATATATATATATACACACACACACACACACTAGAAGAGTACTCGCGCAATGCAGCGAGACACATCTCAATTTTAATGTTCTATTTTATTATTTGTATATGTCGATGTTATAATACGATTTTATGTGTTTTTAAGAAAACAATAATGATTTTATTTTTGAATAAAATATAAATTTGAAGATATCATAAAAATTTGAAAAAGAAAATATCAATGTTAATATCAAATCAACTATTTAA